GGTCTCCGGCGGAGCCTAGTCAGCTTTTCCAAGGGACGAGTCCTTCCTACCGAGCAGAACACGGGGACCCTGGGCGTCCCGCCCGGCCAGCGTCAGGGATGGGTCCTGGAGCCGCCCAGCGTGGCTGGAAGCCGGGGCTGAGAAGTGTCCTGCTCTGTCTCCTGGGGACTGGGACGTTGGGTAACGGTCGCCCGAGGCCAGAGCCCGTCCTGGTTAGGAAGCACACCAGGATCTTATAGACAGGTGGGGGGCCGGACTAGCCAGGTAGGATCCTGAGTCGCACACGCCATCCCTCCTCCTATCGATACCTGCAGTTAGCAGAGATTATTCTCCAACAAATGAACTGTAGGGATGGAGGTGAGATCTGTAGTAGAGCACCTGCATAACACGGAGTTGGGGGCACAAAAAATGCCCTAATTCCTTAGGTGGAAAGGCTATTAGCTGCCCTAAGGTAGAGTCACTGTCCTGTCCCTGGTGCCCGACTTCAGATTCAAATCTTATGAAAGAAGGAGGTAAACACCAGAAGGTTCAGCCTGGGACCACACACACACACACACACACACACACACACACACGCCTATGTGGAGGAACTGGAGTATCCCAATGAGGAGAAGAGAGGCCACAACAGGACGGCCAGAGTGAAAAACTTTATTTAATCAACACTTTCCACAGAAAACAAATACACTCTGAAATATTAAATGTCTCCCCCACAGCATGTCAGGGCAGGGAACACAAAAATGGTAAGCCTAAGGCTTTTCCCTCTACAATGGAGCAGAAGTGGAACCCCAGGGGAAAAAAAAAATCAGGTTCTCTCCATCCAGCTGGGGGCCCTGAGCATACCTAAGGCAGCAGCTGAGGGCAAGAGGTGGAGACAGCCAAAGGCTACGCCAGGAAGGTGGATAAAGGGAGTCCACACTGTGACCCCTTGAGGATGACATCACCAGGGGGGCGTCATGGGCTGAGGGTTCTGTAAATAGGACATCACCACAGCAGAGATAGACAACCTGGGACAGGAAAGAGGCGTCAGTCAGTCCTGGGTGACAGGCCTGGGTTCCCCCACCCTTTAACCAGGACCCCTTCCCTCTTTGGCCAAGCCTTACATAAAGCTACTCATCATCTGCTTGGTGTCCTCCGAGCTCCGGGAATTGGCAAAGCTGATGAAGGAGCAGTAGACGGCAACCCAAGCGCACCACTTCAGCTAAGGAAAGATGGATGGACAGGCCCAGTAGGTTAGAGGCAAGCCACCAGTCACATCCCCAGCAGCCGCTTCCTGATCACTGATCCTTCTTTGTATAGCTCAAACCTTGCTCCCCTTCACCCAAGAACTCCCTCAGGTCTCATCCCTTTTGGGGGGGTCCTCTGCGTGTATGGTTACCTGAGTGCATGCATGCATGCGTGACAGTCCTAGGGCTTGAACTCAGGCCTGGGCACTGTCCCTGGGATTTTTTTGCTCAAGGCTGGCATGGCACTTTACCACTTGAGCCACAGCTCTACTTTTGGCTTTTTTTTTCTCTCTCTCTCTCCTGGTAGTTTACTAGAGGTAAATCTCACAGACTTTCCTGTCTGGGGTGGCTTCGAACCGCGATCCTCAGATCTCAGCCCTCTGAGTAGGATTACAGGCGTGAGCCTCAGGCGTCCGGCTCAAGTACAGGTTTCTGCCCGGTACGGCAGGCTTCCCAGAGGGGCTAACTGAAGGTGGAGACCTGCGGGATTCAGTTCCCAATTCCAGATATTTGGCACCACACAAGCAAACCTCAATCCGTGCACAATCTGTCACCAAGTACCCAGCTCGGCCTCAATTCCCACTTCTCCTAAAAGTGGGACTTTCCACGTCGGGTCCACGCCAGCCCCGCCCGCAGCCAATCCCAGGCCCCACCACCTGGTCCCCCACGCTCATTCCGGGGCGGAGCCACGCCCAGGCGCCGCCCACCTTAAGCATGAGGCCGCACATGCTGAAGATCATGCCCAGCAGGTTCATGTAGTCCGGCGTCGGGTCGTCCAGGGCCGGGTTACTCTCGCTCGGCGGAGGCTTGTACCTGCGGCAGGTTCAAAGGTCACCAGTGGAAGAGCCCGGCCCCCTGGATGGACAAACGCTCCGCCCGGCCCTGACCCACGCCCACGGCCGCGAGCCCCGTCGCCATGACACCGGGGTCCTCACCTGAGCACTTTGTTGGGCCTCCGTGGGTCGGACATATTGTTGGTGGACATAGCCAGACTGCGACCTGGTCACGCCTCTTCCGCTGGGAGAGTGGCAGCTTCCGGCGCGGGAGGGGGACAGCTTTTAAAGTAGCACCCGACGCCCTCACGTTTTCGTTCCCTATGGCCAGTGCCAGGATGACGCCGTAGCCAGTGGACGAAAAATGACAAGAGGCGTAGAATGATCCTGGAGGATAGAAAATGGGAACCGAGAGCGAGCCTGAAATCGGACTTCGGTATTCCCCGAATTGTGACTGAGGTGGCGAGCCCGGATGTTGGAAACCGGAAGTGTCCTGGGGGAACGGTAATAACGTTACACCGAGCGTGGCGGCTGAGCGGCGCCGGGCCGCCGCCTCCCCCGGGGCCGAGTGATCGGTTCCCACGTTGGCGCGGACAGAGGGGGCCTGGCACGATGGCTTTCCCTCAGCCGAAGCCGCGGGCCCCGGAGCTGCCTCGGAAGCGGCTGAAGACGCTGGACTGCGGCCAAGGGGCCGTGCGAGCCGTGCGCTTTAATGGTGAGCGCCCCGAATTGCCCGCGGGCCCCACCCCCTCCCCGCCCCCGGCCAATCCGGGGGAACGCTCCACCCCGAGCCCGTCTCTGCCAATCAGCGATGGGGGCGGGGCCACGGGTGGGCGTGGCGCGGCCGTCGCCCTGGCTACAGCCCGCCTCCTCAGCCAGTAGTTGAGGAAAGCGCGGCTGGGGCGGAGCCGCCTTTGGTACCTCGCTGGACCTGGGGCTATGGAGGACCT